TGCTCCTTGATACTGCCATTCTCTTCATGGCTTTCTTTAGTTTAACAAAATATCTCTGTAAAAATACAACTACAGTTTTCACATGCTTATTTTCTGCATAAGGATATGTGAGCATGTCATGTGACTTGTGTAGATCATGGGACATATTATGGATTAAAACACAGAATTTGCATTTCATGGACCATGCTAAAATTCAGTAAAATTGCATTTGGATGCAAAGAGGAAAGAGCAACATATGGCTTGAATTTTCTTTAAAACACACAAGGGCTAGTTAAAGGGGGAAAGTGCTCAGGACAGAGTATATCTGGCGTTCTTGTGACATAATAGAAACTTGTGACATAATAGAAAATGTCACATACATTAAAGAGTTGGTCTGTGATTTCTCAACAGGGAAACAAAACAATGGCATAAGTTAGAAAATAATTCTTAAATTGTGTTTAATTGCTAGTAATAATCACACAGTCTGTCTCTCCCTCCTTTCTTTCCTTCCTCATTCCTGTTCTCCCTCCCTCCCTCCTTCCCTCCCTCCCTCCCTCCCTCCAAGAAATGGAGTTCTTGTCAACCTTGTGCCAGTTAAACAATGGTTTAACGCTGAATTCAAAACCCAAGCAGAACCCTTAAATCTTCCCCAATAGGGCATGAGGTAGCACTTGAACTTTGAAAGATAATATTAATGGAAATACTTGGAATGAGAAACATGGGAGCATCGAACTTGAAAAGATTGTTTTGTCCCCCCTCCCCTCCAGAATTCAAGGACTCACCATCTGCATTTGCATCTCCACTGGACCCTTAAACCCTTAACAAAAGTTATTCCTGGTTTTTGTATTTGTTTTTTAGTTTCCCATTTCAACACCCTGAGCCTGCACCTTGTGACAGACACAGCCATCTTGTCACAAATACCACCACCCAAGATGGGATTGAGCATGCTCCCCAACTGTCCTTCTTTCCACTGAGGAGTGAGGATTCCCTTGTGTAAAAGCTCTCTATTACTTTGTGTCCTTTAGTACTGGCAGTTTGGGCAGGTGGATGGATTTTGAAGGGAGCCTATGTATGGCTTTGGTGATCCATGAGCCTTCTCCTAGGCAGTTCTGTTTCCATATACATATTCTCCTCTGACTCCTGTACTGGTGCCAAGCTGGCAAACATCACCTTTGAGTCCTATAGAGAGATGTGTTGAGCCTTCCAGCCCCTCTGTGTAAAGATGTTTGGAATTCAGCAGTGCCACTTTCAGTTAACTGGCTCGGATTTCTGGGAATGCAACTAGTTGTCCTCTCTGGCTGGACTAATGCCAGATTACTTAAGGAGATAATTGACCACAAGCCAGCCTGGCTGACAAACCTCCTAAGTGCCAGATGCCAACCATGCCAATGGGCCCTTGCAGGAGGGCCTGCTCTCCTTAAGACTATAGCTAAATGTGGCTTCATTCTCTCTCAGCCTATGACTCATTTTTTTTTCATTTTTTATTTTTATTTTTTAGGGGAAATAATAAAATTGATTGGTCCAAGTTATTTTCTTCCTGTCTGTAAGGACAAGGACATCTACACTAACCTCCCCTCCCTCACTGATTTTTTTCCCACCTTTCTCAGGGGTTCCATTAATTCAGTTGAATGGGGGTATGGGCTGAGTAATTACAGCTTTTTCTACCACCTTGGCACCCAAGAACACAACTGGGTGTTTGTTCTGTACCCACTGAGTAGCCTGCTTTAGAAAATGATTTTTTAATCACACCTGTAACCCAAGAAGTTTATAAATTATAATTGTTTCTTTTCATCTCACCTATTGTTGAATTTGAAAAATTAATGTTTCAAATTAATTTTCTGTTTTCTAATATGTAGAGGGCAGAGCTGTCTGTGAGCTCACATGAGACCACATACCCAAATGAGAGTTACCAAAGTCACACACAGTTAACTACTATCTTTCTACCAGTTTCAGTGACTTATATAAACTCAATATGCTGTTAGTGGCCTGAACCCTAACAACTTGTTTGAAATAAACACAGGGCCTTTAAGCAGACCTGTTTTGGTACATGACAATAATAATCTGAATCCTGTGGGGCCTGGTGTCCTCTTATTCTAGTATCCCACAGGTGTGCCACAAGTGCTCTGCCAGGTTCCAGGTTTCCCGCCTGGCAGCATCTGTTCATGGAGACAGATGCCCTCACAGTGCAGTCAAATCCCATCTGAGTTGGAAGGCCTGGGAACAGAGGAGGTGTCTAACTGGGGACAGCCCTCCCCTTTAGGATCAGAACATGCCCCTTTGCTTATTTTGACGAATGCTATCCTGATGCTATGCACAGCTTCGTTGGGACACCAGGGTTCTTCCTGAAACAAGAACTTGAACACAATCATCGTGGACTTCACTTTGCCTTCCCACCTCGCCCTCTTTCCTCTAAACATGAAACAATCAGCTTTCCCCTCTGAGGCTGAAAGGGTACCCAGCAGGGGTTGGGTGGGTGCAGGAAGGGTCTTGGAAATGGTCCACTACTTGTTTGCTTCCTTTTGGGGACAGAGACAAGGTCCCAGAATGGGGGCCATTGGCACCACTAAAAATTGCCAGGAACCACTCTGGCTGGTCCAGAAGAAAGAGGAGAGGTGTTACTTTTTTGAAGAAACGCCTAAGAGACAGGGGCTCTTTCTTCGGGTCAAATGTCTATAGTCCCCTGAAATAGTTCCCAGCGGGGCTTCCAGCACTAACTAATTGGAAAGTGGACAGGCAGAGAAGTCAGGCTCCAAATTCTCGCGAAACTCTGACCCCAATATCAATGTCTCTCTGGCTGTTTTTTCTCTGTCTACTGCCTAATACTAGTAGAGTAGAAAATCCACGCGAAAGCTAGACAAACTCTCCAATTGACTGAGCCCTGCCAACGAGGCTGCTACCTAAGATGTGTCAAAACTTTGTGACACACTATAATGAGATTTGTAAAAGAGGGATGGGCACAAACGCCATTTGTTTGTTTTATTATTTGTTTTGAGATTTGTTTTTTCAGGGTCTACCCTAAACATACCCCAGCAATTTGTCTCTTTGCGGTCTTCTAATGGAAGGTCGGAGGAATTTCTTACGCTTGGTAGGCACAGGAAAACTGGCTTCTAGTGGAATTTTGCTGGAGATTAGAAGGAGGCGGAAAGAGGGCTGAGCAGAGGATTTCCCAAATCCAACATGGCCTCTCACCTGCTGTTTCGCATCTGCCCCGCCACCTGAAGGTTCTGGCCATGGGTGCCTGCTAGGGTGGTTCGAGGCCCAAGAGCTTCATGTCTCTATGCCCAGACAGTAGTCACCCCTCCTCCAGCAGTCGCCTCGCAGACCCTGCTTCCCTAGGCTAGGCAAGCAACAAGTCTTATCAGATCGCAGTGGCATTTCCCACCTACCTGGTTAGTGTTCACCACGAAAGCAGTGGCGTCTTCCAACCTTGTTGCTCTGGGCCCGCTATAATCCAGCCACACATCTGCTCCTTGGGTAGAGACCTGGGTCCCTGCCCCGCCCCTGCCAACCTCAGAAAAATTTACTGTTGCGGGGTTTTGCCAGTTCAGACTCTAATGTTGATATGGTCTTAATGAAATTCAGTTAAGCAAAGTAGAGTGACGAAAATGGGTAGAGATTAGCGAGCTGACTGGTAGACGGAACTACAGGGAAGGCTCTCCCGTTGGTCTCAGGCCTCTTGAAACTCTGAAGTTAAGAAATTAAGGACTGGGGGAGAATTTTCAACTGTGGCCTCATCTGTTAAGAAGAGAACATCCTCACACAGGCACTGGTATATCCAGAGAGACGTTTTAATGAACACCTGATACAACACTGGCAAACAGGAACGACGTGGCACAGACACGGGCCAGAGGGGACATGGAACCAGGGCCACTCAACACCCCTCCCTAAGTTTGTCGCCAGTAAAGTGCTGTTCCTGGGTCTCCAAACCCAGGAAGGGCAACAGTGACAGGGTGAATTTATTCACAAAATTGAAGAATTCGCCTGAAAAGACACACAGCGAGCAAAGGTGATGCCTCCTCATTTGTGCACGAGGGGGATAGAAAGCGGACAGCCACCAAAGGGCAACCCCTCCTCCCCAATGCGCTGCGCCCCTCTCCCCGAGGTGACTAGGTTCCCTAATGAATGAGAGGAGCAAAAAAATCTGTGATACAGTGACTTTTTTTTTCTTAAAAGTACACATGAAACCGGTCGTGGGAATGAACGTGTTCTCAGGCTCCGTAAGGGTTTCTCACCCGACTGATAGAGGAGTCGCAGGTGGAAAGTCGCCTTTATTGTCTCTCTCTGGAGGCTCCCTGAACTTTACTTTTGGAATCTGGAGCTTTGCTCTTTAAGCCGCCGCCATTCTCTTTTGTGCGAACTAATTACTTTAGCTGTCGCTACTATCCTCCTCGACCCCGGGTCACAGCCAAGAAATGTAACCGTTTCCCAAAGATCCCGCTAAACACCCCTTGCCGTCAAAGCGACTTTATTCGTGGCGTCGTTTTCTCGTCCTTTTTTCCTGACCAAGGAAATAACGAGGAAAACTCATCCTTTCTCTTACCATCTAAGACGAGCTTTCTTTAGTGGGGAGGCGGCTGCAAACGGACGAGACCTGAAGACTGAAACTTGTGGTCTCAAGTCCATTTTGTCACTCTGTCGGGGGGCGGGGGCATCTCCTGTGCCAGATCGGTTCAGCTTCTGCTCCAGGAAAGGGGCTAACACCACTTCCTCTTTGCCTGAAATGAGTTTTCCCTAACCATTTCTTGCTTTCTCCCCCATAACTTACCGATTTTTATTACAATAAAAACTCTTACCTGAAAATGGGCATTCATTAATCTGATTTACAAGATAGTATAAACACAGACACCTGGTGGTTACATTTATTCAGACCAGTGGAACATCCACTTTAGGGTCGTCGATCAGTTTTTTTTTTTTTTTTTTAAATGCCTTATATTTTGCTCGAAGTCAACTTTGTCTGCCACTTTGGGGTGCTCTCTCGATCTAGGGCCATTGACTCAGTCCCTCGCCAGGTGTCTCCTCCCCTAGGAGTGCACCAACACCGAGTGCAGGGAGCCTCCCTTGCTGTCAGCAGTGCTGGCTGCGGTGGGCTCCAAGAGAGGGGCTGTGGGTGAGGCGGCGGCCGGGCACACGGCGGAGGGAGCAGGCAGCTGTTGTGACGCCGTGGGGACTGCCAGAGCCGGCGGCAGTGTGGTCACGGGTGGGAGCGCAGGCGTGGGCTTGATGGGCACAGGTACAGCTGGCAGGCTCTGGTTTGCCGAGTGACACAGGGCCTTGACTGGCACCCCGAACGCCCCATATTCCGGGCCTACCGGGACCCCAGCTGCAGCAGCAGCGGCGGCGGCCGCGGCCAC